CCATTGAAAAAAGGGTTAGGGCTAACCACTTACAAAATTAGGATAATGCCTTATGTGTGACACCCTTATAGCAAGTCACAAAATTTACTGGCTAGATCACATATTCCACTTTCCAAGCCACGAATTTCATCAATTTTTATAATAGTTGAGAAAAAATATATAAATTAAAGATTATGCCCCTGTTTGCCCCCCATTAATTTTCATTTTGGTGCATTAAATTTCGTTTTCTTCAGTCAATTATGGTAGGTGGTTGGGACCCACTGCCACTTTGATGCAACAAAATGAATTGAAAAAGAATTTTTTATATTTTAATATAACAACTCATTGTCAAAATGACAATTTCGCCCCTAATATTGTGTAAATGTCAAAATGAGGGCAAGAGTGTTTTCGTCATTTAATTGGCCAACGGCTGGGACCGCAGTAAATGTGTCTGACACTGCCTTCAGTCAATTGCCAGGTTTGTATGTTGAAAAGAGTGATAATGTGCAAAAATAAAAATTAATGGGGGGCAAACAGGGGCTATGTGTCAACTTGAAATAAATCTATAAGTGGAGTGACTTGTAGAGAACTTTCCCAAAGGGGGATATCATAATTTTATTTGGCGACGTGTATATATTTGGGAGCTTCAAATTGAAAGCAAAATTGGAAAAGAAATTGACTGTTCTCATGGCCGCATATCATCGGGACGACAATCTATCTATTTTATCACGACTTTTAGGGTCACATTTTTCTTCATTTTTTTTTTCTTTTCATTTCCAACATGTTGAGTATTATCGAGAAAATATTTTAAGTGATATGATTAGATTATAATCAATACACGACGTGAGAACCATAACAAGTACAAATCTCACTCATGTATGATCACTTGATAAAGTTGAATTCAAATTTGAATGCAGCGTTACAATTTTTGTTTTTCAGTTGTATAACAAAATCGAAGGGTTGTGTGACAGAGCTTTTGATAAAAAAAAAATTAAGAAATTTTGATAAAAGTCAATGAAATATATAGTTGAAAATGTCGGATTGATCTGTTGACGCATCAACATTGTGGGCAATTTCAAAATTATGAATCGGATTGGTCTGTGGATGCATCGACATTTTGAAAGATTTTCTGTTGCAGCCTTCATTTTCGAGAAGGGAACTTAGATTTGCATCTTCTTTACAAAGAAGTGACTCAAAGAGGAACGCTTAGCCCAGGTTATCCCCAATACAATTTGATTTTTATGGCCCAAAAAGTCTCTTTTCTATGTGAAAAATAAAACTTCATGTGGATTTTTTATTTTTTATTTTTAGTCCAACCATGGTTTCGGCTATGCAGTGATGCTGATTCCCTCAAATGGGCGACTGAAAGCAATGACACTGATATCGGTATGTAATAGAACAAGTTATCCTCATGTTCAGGAGTTGGTGCATAATATTTTGAGGTCCTTCGAGTTTTGGGGAAAGCGGAAATATTGTGATAGCTCGTCCTCTTCGTCGACTGTTTGTTCCGGTGATCTCAAGGGTCCAGCACAGAAAAAGAAGAGCAAGAATCATCCTTACCAGAAAAAGAAGCTACAACAATCAGATGATGAAGAATGCACAAACCAATGACACTGTATTGCAGACATGGGTAGTTTTTGATGTGCAAGGTTTCTTAGTGCTGTTTTTGGAAGTTATGTATGTGGATTTATGAATTATACTTTTAGAGTTCCTGTGGTTGTGCCTGCACTTGAGGTCTTTAGTGTTGGGAAATATGTAAGAAAATCTGGAAAGAACTAATGAACTCCAAGGCATGAAAATCGTTATCTTTTAAGAGATGTTTCTCCATTTTNGGACGATTTAAGATTCAGTCATATGTAATTTGTATCTCACAATCACAACTCCTTGTGATTAACAAATCACCAAGACTTGAATCTACGGATTCTATTATTTAATTTATTAGAATATTAATTCAATTAAATAATAGATATTGCCATATATATGCATTGATTATATATATTCAAAGTGTTTATGTCCAAAGTTGATTGGACCTAGGGCATAACACTTACAGTGGGGAAAGCGGAAATATTGTGATAGCTCGTCCTCTTCGTCGACTGTTTGTTCCGGTGATCTCAAGGGTCCAGCACAGAAAAAGAAGAACAAGAATCATCCTTACCAGAAAAAGAAGCTACAACAATCAGATGATGAAGAATGCACAATCCAATGCACTATATTGCAGACATGGGTTGTTTTTGATGTGCAAGGTTTCTTACTGGTGTTTTTGGAATTATGTATGTGGGTTTATGAATTATACTTTTAGCGTTCCTGTGGTTGTGTACATATAAGCCTGCACTTGAGGTCTTTAGAACATGATGTTTATATATTTTGTATTGTATATGAACCTTTTATGAGTTTTGTAGATGTGGTTCGACTCCATGTTTTCTAGTGTTCATATGAACAACTAAAGTCTGCACTTTTATGGCGTAGTTCGTAGAGTGGATTGGATTCATGGCATGGCATATTAGTCCATCGATGGATAAATTTATGTTAAACACCAATGACCTGATATAGCGATGTACTGATAGATAAGTTTGTGATAATCTCAATATTATAATTTATATTCACCAATAAATTAACGTGGCATGTCATTAGTGTTTAGCATAAACTAAGCACCGATTCTTAGTACATCATTTTTCAGGGTATAAATATACACTCATCCTTAATGTTCCAACCAATATGACAATCCAAGAATGGTTTCCATTAGATCTCCTAACATAAAATTAATACAGATAAATTTGTTACTTAACAAAATAGTTTGGCATATACCATATTAATATATGAAACCGTATCTTTAAAAATCAATCTTGTTAAGAGGAGTAACACAAGTCATTATATATTAATCTATATTTCGGTAATTAGTCGATGTGAGATTTATCCCTTAACATGCTTTGCAAGATGGTGACTCGTTCGAATAGAACAATCTTGAAATTAGTGTATTCATTTAAGTTTCAATCCGATCAAATGTTTGTTTTAGTTTAATGATGTCTGATATCATATTAATATTTGAGGTTTTTATATTAAATTGTCAACATTGTTAATATGAGTATGTTGCTTTACATTTCGATAATTAGTCTATGCGAAATTTATCACTTAACAATATGCATAAGTGAATGTTTATGCATCATCCTGAAAACTACACTTCTCCATGTTTTTTGACAAAATGGAGAACCTTGCTCATGAGGTAACTTGTAAAATAAAATATTAATAAAAATGAGGTGGTCGTGATATTGAATAGAACCTCAAATATACCATCAAAGAAACATTTAGACAAACTAAAAGCATTATTTATTAAGAGAGTTGTTAATTTGGATAATTTCGTGTACTAGTAAAATATTTAATACACAAAACCCATGTTCGGAAGCAATTGAACAAAGACAAAATTGTTTTGTTTTTGTACAACCAAGAGTGATCATGATTTAGAATCTTTTTTTCCATTATCTGGTTTATTTGGTTGCTTAGTCAATATAAATATTTTTTTTT